GAATTTATATTGTTATGAAGGCTTAAAAATTTGGAAAAGTAGTTAATCACATAAAAAATTCAAGGGAAAATTTCTGGAAGACCTCTATTGTATTTGGAATGAAAATGCAAAGTTTGACAATTTTTGAAAACTGTTTGATAATATTTTGGATTTTTAGGAGCTTAAAACACCTTTAAATGTGTTGAAATACCCTTAATTAATATTATAAAAATCTGAAAAATTAATATCCAAAATTGTCTTAATCACATGAGTTATAAAATTTCACCATTTCAGAAAAATGTTTGTAACTTAACAATATTAAATTTTGACACATTATTGGCATAATTCTATTGTAGTAGTAAATATACTAGTATTAGGTTTCAATTAGAGACTCATTAGCGTGTAACATCGTTGTAGGAAAACGATAGTGGTACGAGTAGAGCGTAGTTCAAGGCACCATTTGCATCATCTCAATGCATAGTGAGTATTCACCACTCCCCTATTTTCGAGGTTTACGTTTTGGGGTGGAAAAGCATGTCCTAAACTATTTATGTTCGTTGTATTTATTTGACTCGTATAAACTTGGTTGCTATATTTTGCATATTGTGAGTATTCATCACTCCCCTATTTTCGGTTTTTACGTTTTGGGGTGGAAAAGCATGTCCTAAACTATTTATGTTCGTTGTATTTATTTGACTCGTATAAACTTGGTTGCTATATTTTTCATATTGTGAGTATTCACGCACTCCCCTATTTTCGGTTTTTAAATGTTTTGGGGTGGAAAAGCATGTCCGAAAAACTATTTATTGTTCGTTGTATTTAAATTGATTCGTATCAAACTCGATTGCTATATTTTGCTATAATTTGATATATTCTGCTATGTAGGTCTATGCAACACGGAACATGAGAACTTATCGTCTTAAGTCCCTTCCCTTATACTTTTCTCCAACCATTAACTCTTTGAGCCAATGGTCATTATGGATAGCGCTATTAGGAATTGACAACTCCTCACTCACGCGATTGCTTGAGTGCATGATACCATATAATCTATGGAACGATAAGCATAGATCTTGATAGGGCATCAGTCATAGGCTTGGTTGTGAACTCATTGTTTGCTCATACACATATAAAAATTGTTATTAATTATGGCAATAAACTTGTTTATTAATTATAGCAATGAACTTTGTTTCTCATTATACCAATGAACTTTGTTTCTCATTACAACATCAAAATTTTATTATTAGAAACTTATATACATGTTTTAGCAATGAAATTGTTTGCTCCTTGCAACAATGAACTTGATTACTCATTTTAACAATATATTTTCATTTATGGAAACTTTTATCAAAACTTGATTTCGATTCATGAAACTATTATTATTATTATTATTATTTTATCTGTGAGTACTCACCAACTATTTTTATAGTTGACGCTCGTTTTACATGCTTTTTCAGGAATCATCGAGTAAGTGGCACTTAGGGATACATCACTTTTAGGAGCATTCGCATGTGTTGTATTTCAATTTTCATTGTAATTTCTTTTAAAAGTTGTTCAAACCCATTGTAAATTTGTAATGATTTTTAATACTATGGTTGGTGTTGTCTTTTAACTTTTGTTATGAAACCCTTTATACTTCCACGCCTCGTGTTTCCGCTTTAGCGGGGTGTGACACTAGGGTGACAAAACTTTACCTTAATCAAAGCCGGTGCCGGAAAGCACCAAGACAGGCGAATTAGTCATTATCATGCATGGTTGTAACGGCTCACTTAGAGACTAACTTCATCAAAGATTTCGGTATATTAATACTAATCTTAACAATACTAAAAACATACATACATTCCTACACGGTCTTGGAAATTTTATGACATCAATACTCGTATAAGCAGAAAATATCGGATTTTATGGGATCAATACCATTATACATTACCTTCTACTTACAACAGAAAACACAGGATTTTATCTGGATTACATTTTTATTATCGATACATTTTAACAACAACAAACACACCTGCATTAATACTTGATTTGATACAACATTTTCAAACTAATCTACAGAAAATATCGAATTTTCTGGTGTTTTACTAACGATACAAAACTTTTCATTCAAACATGCTTATGAACTCACCAACATTATTATGTTGACCGTTTTTAAAATAACTTGTATTCTCAGGAACTCGTTAAGCGGAAGAATCAACAAGAATATGAGATTTTGTTTTGTGTACTGTTAAACATCATGCTTTGAATGTTTGGATATGTAACTTAAAATATTGTACTTGATGTAAACAATGACAGTTGTATTATATTATGCATGGTGATGATGATGATGTTATGTTTCATTTATACTCATTGTAATGATATTTCAAGATGAAGTCACGCACAAGCCCCCGGACGTTTCCGCCGTCTGGTTCGGGGGTGTGACAGATTGGTATCAAAGCATTGTTTACAGTGAACTGGCATATCTAATCATACGTGATATGCAACTATAAATATAATGAGACTAAAACACTCTGAATAAAGTGCATACATTAAAACAATAACATTAAAAGTCTCTGGAGGAAATGGAACACTGTGATTAAACCCGGGAAATATGTAGTCATATTGGGGGTAAATATAGCCTGATCAACTATATTTATTCAAAATATGACCAACATGTGTTTGGGAATAATTATGGTGGTAAATTGACCTAGAAACTTACCTCGTATGCAAAACTTCTCAGGAATTCAAACACAAGTAATTAAAATACTATAGGAGTATTTTGAAATTTTATGTACACACCCCCTTTACACATTTCTCACTCCCAGTTTCTCACACATTCGCCATGGATGGAGCACAACAGGGCATTCTTTTCTACCAGAACCTAGTGGCCCACAGAGTGGTTGAGGAAGACCCCGTGGTGGAGGCGGCCCCCGGTGTCGGGCCCGAGAATACGTGGAGAAGGATTATGAGTTTGGGGAATACGATGAGATTACAGAGGAGAATGGAGATATGAATGAAGAACCTGGTGAACCTCCTACTTCCGAGACAGTGCAGGATCACTCCATAGCACCACGTGATCCCGTAGATAGGACTCACTCCCTAGAAGAGGAGGTTACCACTCTTCGGCAACAACTATTAGCGATAGAGGCCCGAGCTCTCCAGGCCGAGCACGAGAGAGACGAAGTAGTCAGAGAGATGACCGAGATGGATAATCTTGTCGCACAACATTTCGACATATGATATTGTTGGCAGACCCATCTCATCGTAGCTAGCACCTGTTTCTGTACCATCGTTATGATTTTCTTCTTTATGTTTTACTCTATGTACTATCGACCATATGTTTAAGTGATTACACTACTCATAGGGTCGTCATGCTTTCAGATCATATGTTTTCCCCATGTACTGTATGCCTTTAGGCAAATTTTCATGTACTAAAAACTATTATTATTAATGGAGATGTTCTATCATGATGTTGTTATCTGCTATGTGTTGTATTTCCTTGTTTTATGTTAATACATGAAATCACTTAGATGCACAAAATCGATTCGCCGAGTCTATGAAAATCTAAACTCGGAATGCGATATGTACTCAACATCTTTCCGTTCTTTGATAGAAGGATGCCTCAAAGACCCAACCGTGGAAACAACACAACACCGACCCCACCTGAAATAAACTCAGTGGCATTCCAAGCAGCAGTGTCCGCTGCGGTCCCTGCAACACTTGCGCAGATACGCAATGGAAACAACGGAGAAGGCAATGGACAGGGAACGGGAAGCACAAATCAAGGAACAAACCACGACACCACACGAACCTGCACCTACAAGGACTTCACCAACGCCAAGCCTCGAACCTTCAATGGAACAGTAGGCGTGATAGCCCTGAAGCGATGGATTAAGAAGGTGGAATCAGTTTTTGAAATTTGCGGGTGTCCGGAAGGCTGCAAGGTCAAGTTTGCGGCCTGCACATTCATTGATCAAGCTCTCTCCTGGTGGAATGGTCACGTAGAGGCCATGACCCTCCCGGTGCCGAACGCGATGCCATGGGAAGAGCTTAAGGAAATGATGTTGGCTGAATACTGTCCAAGAGGTGAACTCCAGAAGATGGAACAAGAGTTGTGGAATCTCAAGGTTCAAAACTCCGATATCGACGCATACATATCCAGGTTTAGTGAGCTGTCTCTCTTGTGTCCCGGAATGATCACCTCTGAAGGGAAAAAGATTGAGAGGTTTATCTAGGGATTGACCGCGCCAATCCAAGGGAATGTCATTGCAGCAAACCCTGAGACGTATGATAGTGCAAAGAGGCTGGCCAATAAATTGTATGATCATGGCAACAAAAAGGGTGCCAAAACAAGAGAACCGGAGGTTAAGAAAGTATGTGAGAACAAGAAGGGGAAAAACAACAAGCGAAAGGGAAAACAAAACTCTGTATCATTGAAGAAACAACAAACTGTGATTGTTCATGCTGCTACTCAAGCTACCACAACACCACATGCTCCAGCCTCATCAACACCAAACGCTCCCAAACAATACTCAGGAGTCCTACCCAAGTGCAACAAGTTCAATTTCCACCATCACGGAGAATGCAGAGAGATGCATTGCACAAGTTGCAACCAAGAGGGTCACACAACGAGATACTGTAGAACCTATCCTCAACAGAATCAGCAGGCAAACAACAACAACAAGCGCAACAACAATCGCAACAACAACAACAACAACAACAACAACAACAACAACAACAACAACGGCAACAACAACAATAGTGGGTCCAGTCACACCTGCTATGGGTGTGGAGGGACCGTCCATTTCAGGCGCAATTTCCCCGAGGCTAACAATCAGGGGGCGGGAACATCAGGAAGGATACTGGAATTGGGTCAAGGTGAAGTAGTTCAGGACCCAACAGTTGTTACATGTACGTTTCTACTTAACAACACATACACATGCATTCTATTCGATAGCGGAGCCGAGCGAAGCTTCGTTAGTAATAAATTCAAACACTTACTAAATCAAGAACCCTAGAAGCTCAACGAAGCCTTCACGGTGGAAATGGCTAATGGGAAAACTGAAACAACCAAAGATGTCTATGTAGGGTGCACATTAACATTGAACAATCACTCTTTCCAAATAAATTTGATGCCAGTGAACATTAGGAGTTTTGATGTGATAATCGACATGGATTGGTTAAGCCCCCACCATGCTAATATTTTATGTCGCGAGAAGGCTGTTCGCCTTCATCTTTCCGATCATGAAACCCTGATGATTTATGGTGATAAAACTGTCGTCAATCTTCGTCTTATCTCATGCATCAAGGCACAAAAGTACCTGCATAAGAAAAATTACGCATTCCTCGCTCATGTTATGAATAAGACCAAGGAAGAAGTAGACATTAAAGACATCCCAGTGGCATGTGACTTTCCGGATGTATTTCCAGAGGATCTTCCGGGAATACCCCCAGAAAGACAAGTCGAATTTCGAATCGACCTGGTACCAGGAGCCACTCTAATTGCCAAATCGCCCTATAGATTGGCTCCCGCTGAAATGCAGGAATTATCAAGCCAGCTAAGCGAGTTGTTGGACAAAGGATTCATCCGGCCAAGTTTCTCACCCTGGGGAGCTCCAGTTTTATTTTTCAAGAAAAAGGACGGATCCTTCAGGATGTGCATTGACTATAGAGAATTAAACAAGCTCACCATTAAAAATCGGTACCCACTTCCACGAATCGATGATCTATTTCACCAACTTCAAGGAGCTAGTTACTTCTCCAAAATATATCTGAGATCCGGTTATCATCAACTTCGAGTCCGAGAAGAGGACATTCCAAGAACCGCCTTTTGAACCCGTTACGGTCATTACGAATTCGTCCTGATGCCCTTCGGTCTGAAAAATGCCCCCTGCATTTATGGACCTCATGAATCGAGTCTGCCGCCCATTCCTTGATAAATTCGTGATTGTCTTCATCGAAGATATTCTCATTTATTCTCGAAGCGAAGAAGAGCATGGTCAACATCTCCGTCAAATATTGGAAACCCTAAGAACTGAAAGACTTTACGCGAAACTTCCCAAGTGCGAATTATGGATCCGCAGTGTAAACTTTTTGGGTCATGTAGTCAGCAAGGAAGGGATTCACGTAGATCCTTCCAAGATAAAGGCCATTGAAGGCTGGGCTATCCCGAGAACCCCAACAGAGATCCGTCAATTCATGGGTCTCGCAGGATACTACTGGAGGTTTATCCAAAATTTCTCTAAGATAGCCAAACCCCTTACCACACTGACACAAAAGGGTGAGTCTTTCAACTGGACGGAAAAGCAAGAAGCCGCCTTCCAAACCTTGAAGCGAGCCCTCTGCAGTGCACCAGTGTTATCCTTACTAGAGGGAAGCGAGGACTTCGTAGTCTACTACGATGCTTCGAATCAAGGTTTAGGTTGTGTCCTCATGCAACCTGGGAAGGTGATAGCTTATGCATCCAGGAAACTAAAGACACATGAAGTAAATTATACCACACATGATCTCGAGCTGGGAGCTGTGGTCTTTGCCTTAAAAATTTGAAGGCACTACCTCTATGGTACCAAGTGCACCATCTTTACAGACCACAAAAGCCTCCAGCACATTCTAAACCAAAAGGAGTTAAACATGAGGCAGCGGAGATGGGTTGAGCTTCTAAATGATTACGAATGTGAGATCAAGTACCACCCAGGCAAGGCTAACGTGGTGGCCGATGCCCTGAGCCTAAAGGACTACTCAAGTCGCCGGGTGAGAACTCTATCAATAACCATCAAATCCCACCTAACTTCACAGATCAAGGAAGCTCAATTAGATGCATTAAAGTCGGAGAATGTCACAGGTAAACCCTACGTGGGATGGATAAGAACTTGGAAACGAAGGAGGACGGAACTCATTACTTCATGAACGAAATCTGGGTCCCTAAATTTAGGGGATTCAGAGAAGTAGTTATGAATGAAGCCCACAGGACGCGATATTCCATCCATCCGGGTTCGGATAAGATGTACCTAGACATAAAGCAACAATATTGGTGGCCGAATATGAAAGCAGAAATCGCCACTTATGTGGGCAAGTGTCTTACTTGCGCCAAAGTGAAAGTTTCTCCTGGAAAGGGATGATCCGCTTTGGGAAACGGGGGAAACTGAACCCGCGATATATTGGACCGTTCGAGATTCTTGCCCGGATTGGTCCAGTGGCTTATAAGCTGTAGCTACCTGCCGAGCTCAGCAATGTACACCCCGTGTTCCACGTCTCGAATTTGAAGAAGTGCTATTTTGATGAAACCCTTGTCATTCCCTTAGAAGAAATCAAAATAAACAAAAATCTTCTGTTCGTCGAAGAACCAATCGAGATGATGGATAGGAAAGTGAAGCGTACGAAGCAGGGTCGCATTCTGATTGTGAAGGTTCGATGGAACGCCAAGCGTGGATCGGAATTCACATGGGAACGTGAAGACCAGATGAAGTAGAAGTACCCTCACCTATTCTCTCATTCATGTAACTATCCTTCGAAAGAATTTCGGGACGAAATTCCCTCTAACGGGGGGGATGATGTCACAACTAGCATTTTAGCTAGGAAATTCTATTCTCATGCAATCATTCAACTATTGTAAAGCATGTACCCTAAGTGAATATCACTCAATGCTCATTCAAATACATCTCTCATGTTCAACTAAGGGTTCGAAACCCTAGAAATCCAGGTTTAAATTTATTATGGACGAGGATCCTCTTATTGGGCCTTTTGGGCCAATAAATCTTCAATTAGACTATTTTGGGCTTAGAAACCCTAATTGGATTCTAAATAGACCCAATTCATAAGTCTATAACATTTTGGGCCATTTGGGTCTAGAATGATTCATTCTAACCCTAATGGGCCTTATTGGGCCATAAATAGTTTAATTGGCCCTAATGGGCCATAAACCCATTCCTTTATACAACATTGGGCCGTGAACCACCTTAAGAGTCCAATGGGCCGAAAAATATTGTTAAGCTTAATAAATTCGAGCAAGCCAAGAAAAAGGAGCCCAAAACCATCTCATCCTCTTTCCTCTTAGCCTATTCTCGGCCCATATAATTATTAAAAAAAAGAAAAAAAATAGGGATTATCCTCCCTTGACACCTCATTGTTGCATGGTGGATTTCCATGCAACATCACCTCAAATCTCTCTCCTCTTCACCCCTTCTTATCTTTGGCCGAGACTCCCACCACCCACCTCCATCTTCTCATTTCAAGCTACTTCAAAACACTCTAGATTTCCTCTTTCTTCCATCAAAATTTCGAGATTTGTGGGTGCTTTCAAGAGGATTCTTCACCAATATCATCATCCTTGGTATGTTTTTGCTTAGATCCATGGTTTAGTTTCTTGATTACTTCAAAAATCTCTTCTTAACCTATACCATTTCATGATCTTTCTTCTTAGAACCCATCTAAGTCCAAAAACCTCTCAAGAAGCTTGCTAGGGCCGAGAATCACATCATCTTCTTCCATTTCTTCTGCAAACCAAGAACAATAAAGCAAGGTGAGTTTATACCCCCTTGTTTTCGGTTTTATCTTGTTTTTGGGGGAGGATACAAGTCATTATGTGTTAGATCTATGTATTTGTGCATGTTATGTGTGTTTATCTTGGTTTAAGTTGTGATTATTGGATGAAACACTATAGATCTCGAAAATTATAACGAAAAGTTGTGATATGTGTAACTAAAACACTTCAAACAACATACTATGAAGCTAGATGGGTCTAATATTTGAAGATCCATAAGAAGTTAAATAAAATCTTGAAAAAGGGCCATTTTTGAACTAATATACAAAAATGTGAGGTTTTATGACACTTGCGGTTTTTACAAGGGTTAAAAGAGACATTTCCTTTTAAAAAATAAGTCTTTATGTTATTCTTAAAATCAAAGGGGCCAAAAGTGTAATTTTTCACATAATGGGCCAAAATATGGACCTTCATGGTTATAGGGCCCTAAATGTAAAATTTGTGATTTTTATGGACTAAAATGTCATTTTATACAAATTTGAGTCAAAAATGTAACTTACGATTTTTATGGGCTGGAAATGACACTTACTTTAAAATTTGGGCCTAAAAAGTTATTTATGCAAAGTTTGGGGCTGAAAAGGTTATTTTTATCAAAAGTGGGTCAAAAATGTCATTCTATCTAAAAAAGGGGGCTGAAAATGTAAAACATTTTCTATTATTGGGCCGAAAACATTCATTTTTGGTCACTTGGGCTAAAAATGTAAATTTTCATGCAAATGGACTAAAGGTGTAAATTCTCATGTTATTGGGCCTTATTGATCAATGTACATGTTTATTGGGCCTTATTAGCCCATATACACGCTTTTGGGTCTAAGTTATGCATTACATGACTATTGGGCCTCAATGACCAACATACACGCTAATTAGACCTAAACTATATATTATTGGGCCTTGGTGGGATTTCATACATTCACATGCATAATCATTGGATTTTCACACATAAAACATATACGTAAAATATTATACAACATAAGATAATTTTCGTATAATACATTACTCGTGAACAAGTTGAGAAATCTAGTGAGACTTGTCGGTTGACACCTTTGAGTGTATGATCGTAGTGTCACACCCCAAAACCTGAACGGCGGAAATGTTCGGGGGCGGAGGACGTCATGTACAGTATCACAACAATGCATAATAGTAAACAAGCAACAACATCATCCATTGCATTAATAGTATAATTTTAATACAAGTGTGTTCTGAAGTTTATAAGACACCAACAATACATATCAAAATAAGAGATGAGTCTTGAATGTGCTCCATCTTCTCAAAACCTGTTCATCGGTACCTGTCTACTGGCGACCTGAGAATACAAGTTATTTTGAAAGCGTAGATCAGCGTTTAAGCTGGTGAGTTCATAAGTATTTTAGTGTCATTGTTTGTATAAGTTTGAAGAAAGTACTTGTAAATGTTTGATGTAAGAGTTTGTAAGTGATTGATGAAAAGTTTGTAAGTGTTTGATGTAAATGTTTGTAACCTTCCTAAAAAATCCTGTATTTTCTACTAAAGTAGTCTTCTACCAAGACTCAATTGTTCTCTATGTTTGTTCTTTTGTAAAAGTGTGTTTTCCTAAAGTATGACTATCATTACCAAAAATATAGTTTTTCATTACCGTTTATGTGAGAAGATCACAATGTGAATGAAATGGGAAAATAAAGATGTACTGTAGTTTTATCTAGGTAACTACTAATTTACTAACTACCCTTAAACTTGTTAGTTTAATTAAGGTAAAATGTGATATGATTGGTCCATACTTGATTGACTAGTATAACACGACGTTCGAGACATCGAAAGGATATGACATTCGTCACCCGTAGACCTGCAGGTCCCACTGTAGCTAGCAGCAAGGTGTAGGATGGTCAGTCCCGTATAGATCTATATACAAATTCACGCTCTCCCTCCAGGAGACTCTGGGTAGAAAACGTGACACAACAGTATATGCCGAGCCATGAAGTAGTATCTCACATTAATGTTATAGTATTCTTGTATTTTTATAGTATGTACTAGTGCAGTGTATGTTCTCTCTGTCTAGTATGAAGTATGTTCTCTAGTGTATAGTGTGTAGTATGTATTGATTCTCGTTATAGTATTCTCTATCTGTTTCTCTTTATAGTGAGTATTGTCTCTCGTTATAGTATGTTCTGACTCATGTATGAACTGACTCTTTGTATGTTTCATTGTTCTAGTAATAGTATTAGTGACTTCCTAAACTATACCTATTATAGTTTACTAGCAATGTTGTTTGTATGAATGAACATGTTTGTACACCTTTGCTACCCAAAGGATTTGAACCGA